TGTTTGTATGGATATTCGTCCTGATCCCATTATGTCACCTGGTGTAATGACGTGTCGCTGGGCCGAGGATCCAAACTGCACGTTGTATATGCCTCGGAGAGACGCGAAACAACACGATGCAGTAGTGGGTGACTTCATGCGTCAGTCAAACGAATCTGGGAGCCCAGTGATATTGATAACCGTCAGCCGTTGTGGGATGAGGGGGGGGGGGGTCAAATTGCCGAAGGTTTTTCGGGAATGGTTTCCGAATGACGGGGCATAGCCGCGTCAAATTTTGCAAAGCGGTAGACAACTGAATAGCAGATCGTCTGACATGAACAACTTAGATATACCTTGTAAGGACGCTGACATATGACAGGTCAAAGTCAGGTCATGGTTTTAGCGAAGGCAATTTGTGGAGAATCGTTCAATCTGATCCAACAACGGAGTGTTAGACGAAGCCATACATCTCTGAGATGCATTCTTAGACACACAACAATTGGCTGAACGAATAGAATTGACATAGGGACAGGTATGACTGTCAGACCAATGTCAAAACCCACCTGTTTTTACTCTATGACTTGCTGCATGGGGTATTTTCTGGTGCTCATTTTGAATTATTGATAACAGGAACCGCATGAAACACCTTGCATGAGCCTTGAAGGATCAGAATAGGTCACTGCCATAAAATAACCCGGGTCAACATTTTATTTTTAGGAACGCACTGCCTAGCCCTTCTATGCTCATCTATGTCGCTTATCCGAATGCAAAACTCAAAACATTCTTGTATGATTTTGGTCACTCTGACCTACGAAAGGTCAAATAAGGTCACAGGCCTTAAATGAGCATGTTTTCTTTCGTTTGTAACGCCTATGTAGGCTTCAGGGGCCCTTTGGAGACCAGCCTGGAATTTGACGTTGTTTGACCTCATCTAACCCAAAGGCAATAACTTAGAAATCTCGAACTTTAATCTAAGTGAGTTCACGTGTAGGTTAACACACCCTGTGAATTTAGTGTCTCTAGCTCTCTTGGTTCCTGAGATCTCAGGGGGCGATCAAATTGACCCCCACCCGAGCAAAGGGTATCCAACGGGCGACCCGGGCGCCTGTTGAAACGCAATCGCCGCCATCGTGTCATTGATGTCGGCGCCTCGTTTGTTTGCTTGCAGAGCACGGTTCTGGTCTGTGACGGCATGCCTCGTGTGCCAACGACACCACGGCGAAATTGGATAGGCGAGCAATCGGAAGAGTGACTTTATGACGGGGGGGGGGGAGGGGTGTGAGTTTTCAGCTAGCTAACTTGTTAAGATGCTACATCAGATTGTAAACAAAAGAAAAGGTCATGCGAGTTTCTTCAACTAGTTTGTATCATGTCATAAGGATTTTATAACATTGTCAACAACTTAGACTCACCGCTGTTACCTCGCAAGGTAAGATACTGCTTCAGCTATGTGTCATCTGAGGAGATAAATGGGAATCTACAGCAATGTTGCGCACTTTGAGCTGTTCGTGATTGAAGGCATCGGCATCACTGGAAACGGCATCCAGGTTTAAGATTTTCAGTAAACTGGATACCTCTTAGGTCGAAGCTACGACCTGAGCTTCGTAAATGTAAGCTTGAATGTCGATACAAACTTTACGCTTTGCGTTCGAACGGCGGCAGAGCACACACTTGATTGGGTAGAGACCTTGAATGGCAACTTAAATATCATATAAAACGTTCTAAAACCCGCGGTACACGTAACAATATCTCCAGCAAATGGATCGGGCCAGTAAGGTCAAATTCGATAGAAGACCTGAATAGCGCAAGCTTTTTTGGTTGGCACGGAATGTAAGCCTGCTGGTCGCGCGTGCAAAGCAATTTTAAACCCACTAGAAAATCAAAATCAGCACATTAATTTACCTTACATAGGGGCGCAGTCTCAAACAGTGAGCCCCTGTCAATAGAGGTTAACAGCGATCAGTGATCTCGGTGAATTTGGAAAAAGTAGCGTCATGTAAACGAAACAATAATTTCCAGCCCGTAGCTACTTCCGTGCGATCATAGGCGGCATTATCTGTCATTGATTAAGGGTTGCTAAGGGTCGACTTTGAGTGCGTGCAAATCAAGTGGACACTACGCACTTCCTGCATCGAGCCTTAAAGGTCAAACTGTTGTTAGATCTTTAAGCAGAAAGGACTGCTGTAGACAACACACATTCTCTGTGAAGTAAATATGCTCCTTGATACGTCATTGTCTGATTACGTAATCGTGCCTTGCACAGCACTGAGAGCTGATTAACGGCCGTTATATCTGGAAATCGTGCTCACGAACGCCAGATATGAACGACTCGACCGATGTATTTTTCTCGGCCTTGATCGCCGCATGGCTGATGGAATGACAGGACTTGAATGATGTTATTCTGACGTCATGGATACCTAGGTGGCCTTTGCATGCTCTTCAGGAAATACTTTCCCCATTTTTGCGGGCGTGTGGCTCAGAAACTAAAGAGCTTTAGTTCTTAAGCAGGAGAGGGTTGTGG